ATTTTCTATTTTCCCAGAAGTCAGGACCAGAATCAATGGGTCAAAACTACAAAGTAGCAATTTCCGACTAAGCATCAGAAGGAAGTTCATGGTTGTATGAACTGTCAAGTAGTAGGACAGGCTGTCATATAAGATTTCCATTGCAGATCTTGAAACAGAAGTTTGGTCTTTTTAAATCAGAGAGCCTATAGAGATACAGCATTGAATATGTGTTGGATTAGAAGACTTTTAACATCCCTCCTAATTCTATTTGGAGAAAACAGATACTGAAAACCCAAGATACAAAAGGTTTTGTTACTTACAACCAGTACTTTGAATTGTATATTGGAAATACATTGGAAGCTAGTTCATTACTTGTAACATAATATGAAGTGGCTCTCACTCAGTAGCATGCAGGCTTCCACAACCCCTTCTTGGATAAGACATCATCAGGACATCTCAAGGCTGTGATCCAAACTAAGAAATCTCCCAAAAGGTAGTAATGGCCAATCAATGTCATGAAAATGACCCCAAAGTCATCAGGAGTTGATGTTCACTTGAAGGCGATACCATTTGGCTTGGAAGACTAATTGTTCTTCCCTGGAAGCACTGGAGAATAATGATTATATTCTGCATAGAAAAATGTATGAGATTGAGAATGCAATTGAATCTCTGGCTTTCTGTCATACTACTACTGGCGTAAAGCTGAAACATTAGACTAACTTTCAATTTTGCTACAGTTGGATTTTATGACAACATAGCACCATGATGTTGAAGGCTGAACAAGTCAAAAATGAAATTGAGAATAAAAAGGGGAGGAAAAGAAGAAAAACTCTTTTCATCTTATAGAATATGATAAAAGAAGGCAGGCAAACAATCTAGGAAGAAGCCCCCTCTCTCTCTAAACTAGAAAGATATTCAAGTTCAAATATTTAAGTATTTCTGAAGACAGAAGAATCACATTTCTTTAAAAAAAATCTCTTTGTGTTAGCTGGAGCCTCACAATTATTTCATTCTGCTTTTTGTTTTTTAATCACATTTATCTATGTGTTTATCTATGTGTCTGTGTGTATTTGCACATGCACATGAGCATAGAAGACTAATGATCTCATTTGGCATTAAACATCTGGAAGGGGTGGCTTCCAGTCAGCACTACTGCTGGTTCGCTCGTGTGTGTGCTTTGTGCATGCATGCACAATGCACAGTGCAATTAAAATTGTTCTGCACATGTGCAGAACTGAAAAACAAGATGACATCAATGGCACCGAACAGGGAACTGGTTCAGGGGCATGGCGGACCTGGGTTGCTGCCGGTTCCAGTGACTCAGGCCACCATACAACTACCAGTTCAGCCAAACCAATCCAAACCAGTAGGAACCCACCACTGATCAGGAGTCAACAATAAGTTCTATCACGATAATTTCATTTCTTTTTTAGTGACAAATTTCACTAGTCTGGCTGACCAAGGTAATTCCATTGATGTATAGCATCTTGATTTCCATGAAGGGTCTCTCATGATAACCTGACAGATAATATGTGAGGCTACTCCTTGCCAGTTAATTTGCCATCAACACCCAAAAACAATTATTGGCTCTTCTCCTCTCCATACCCCATATTTGTCACTTTCTTCTCCCTCTCTCCTTCCCCTCCCTACCTCTTTTCTTTCTTCTGTCACCTTTCTCTTCTCTACTTCTCCTTCCTCTCTCCTTCTCCTCTCTCCTGTTTCCACTCCTCCTTTCTCTCCTCCTCTCCCACCTCTTGTCCAAAGAGAGATTCTGAGGGAAGTTGCTAAGTCCTTGACTTGCGACTGGTCCTAAAGTCCCTGACTTATGACTGGCTGCAAGTCCTCGGCTTACGATTGACAGCCAGCAACAGCTCAGCCACGCCTGATTGGCTAAGACACTGCTGGCTGAGCACGGGCTGCCCGAGGCACTCCTATTGGTCGCCCTGCTTGACAGCTCCCGTATAAATAGCTGTCAAGCAGGGCGAGGTGCTGAATTCTGTCTGTACATAGTTAACTGTTGCTGTTACACAGTAAATAGCTGTTCACTTACCTCAGCCACCTCACGCCTTATCTGTTCTTTCGAACTTCAACAGAAGTATTAAGTGGGTTTCTGAAGGCTCTGTGCTTCACTGTGCTATCCAACATTTTTATGAGATATTTAGAGTGTAAGAAGGGTGTTCAGCAGATTTTCAGATAACAGCAAGCCAATATCTTAGAGGTCAACATTATATCTAAAATCTGAGCAAGAAAAGTTGCCTCATATATTTTCTCTTTAGATTTAGATTTAACTAAAACTTTCTATTTGAAAAAGAAACAACATTTAATCAAAATGAATAACTTGTATGGGGGGAAGGGGAGGCTGTTTTATCAGCCCATCAAGGTGGAATTGAAAGGACTTTGAAAGGCAGTGGAAAAGTACTGTTCATTTGTGATTTATCCAAGTTGGATAATGAAGGTACAGCCAGTTTGCTTTTCATTTTTAAGTCTTGTTTCCAATGAAGGTCTATGGATTTTCTAACAGTATTAATTTTTGTTAGTTCAAACAGCCAGAGATTTGCAAAGCAGCAACTGAAACAAACTGCATGCTTCAAACTCAGTATTGAATATTCAGATTTCCTTGTTTAAAAAATAAAAATCTACTTCTTACATCATTTCCAAGTATATACAAAGAGACACAAGAAAGAATATTTAAGGCCCAATTCTCTTGAGGAATTTCAGTATTCCTCTAGTTTACAAAGGAGTGTTCCTCCAGTTTTTTTTAATATATTGATCTTATCTCTTGTAGGATTTAATGTCCCAAACACAATGGCCAGTGACTGCATAAAAATCCTTAAGCAAGCAGGTGAAGGCTTAATATATGGACATGTCTATTTTCTGCAAACTAGTAGCACTCTTCTTGTGTGATTCTTTCTTTCCAGCTATTGAATTGATTTCTTCTCTCTGCCAGTCCTGAGCTAAGAACTGAACCAAGAGGATCATTTCAGAAAAACAGATACCTCTTAAATAATTAAATTTCTCTCAATCCATCCCCTAAATTTGTCCTTGAGGATTGACAGAGTCTAATAAAAAGTAATAAGGTTCTCCCTTTCAGTGTGTTGACATAACTGTTATTGCTTTAGCATTGCACCTCATATAGCCATCTCCCAACCCATGATGCCACTTATCAAACTATATTATAAGGAAATAATCAATAACCCATTCACAGAAAGAACTTTTCCATCCTATTGCTCGAAAATTAGTCCTGTTTGCAAGGAATTTGCTGCTGTTTTGGGAGGAGACAATCCTAATAAACATTAAATATAGCCAGACTCTAGTCATAGTTTTAACAAGACCTACTGCAAATACACTTGGTTTACCTTTCCTAGAAATAGTACTATTAGAAGCAGTTGCCAAATATTCAACTCCAAATTGCCTGCCCAAATCCCATTTATATAATCCTCTTAATAATATACAATCCAAGTTGCACATACACCCTCACCAGAGTTGTTCCCTTAACACACCTCCTGTCTGATTGTATAACCTGTGTGCCTTGAGTCCAGTAACCATGGTGATGCGGAAACTGTGTTGGAAATTAGTTGGTTTGATTGCGTGAGTCAGGTGAAGTAAGGTGAAGGGTCTGGCCCATTAATTCTGGAATCTCCTGAAAGGCAACACACATATTTTGCTCTCTATACTGTTAAAGAATTTCTGATACCTATCAGATCAAGAAGAGAAGTAGTGAAAAGAAAATAGGAAATAATATTTATTTTCGGGTGTTTGCTGTATTGTCTCCCTCCTGACCCTCCAATAACTGATAGCCCACACTAGAATATTTATCTTCCATTTGTGAATCTTCTCCCTTTAAAAATAAAACTAGCTTTGCTGGAGTGATTATAGGGCACCTGGGCTTATTTAAAGCTAGCTAACAAGGATAGCACAACCTTGGGGTTTAGCTGTGTTTAGCTTGTTCTAGCTTGAGTCAGGATTTATAGGATGCAACCTTCTGTGATAGTCTGTTGGGAAACTATTTGTATTAAGTGGATTTTTTTAAAAAAAAAATTCTGTAATGATTATATCATTTATCCCTCTTGCTAAGAATATAGATATTATTCAACTTTATTGCACTCTATTTTTCTGGCTGGAAAAGAAAATGAGAAGCCCTTGAGTAGGAACGGAAA